GACAGCCCCCCCCCCCCGCCTTTCTCTCTCTCTCTCACCCACACACATAGACAGCCCTCATTAATTGCAGGGCTAGAGGAGTAAATTTAGCAACGACATGAGGTAGTGAAACCTTAATCTACGCCAGGGCTGAGTAAACTATGATACTCATCAAGTTCAAAAGCTCTCTTATCTGGCAAGAGAAAAATCAGTCTTCTTCCCAACAGTCTCTTGAATGGGTCAGAACAGGAGGAAAATATCAGAACAGAGAAAAGAGGGTGGCAGAAAGAGAGAGAAAGAGAACACCGTAACCCCTTTTGTTGATACGGTGCTGATTCCTCTGTGACATCCAGTCAAATGTATTTATTTAACTTTTCTGCACGCGTATTTCTATCTGATTATCAACCAAGGCTGATTACAACATATTGTTAATAATAATGTTATTGATAAATTATTGGGTCATCATTGATTGCTGTTACAAATCTTGGGTTTTCTCATCAGACTTTTAAAAAATTGTTGACTGCTGACCAGCTCACTCAGTCTCTGCTTTCTTTAACAGGAATACTTGGATGTTTTGGGCAGGCCAATGGTTATGGCTGAGCAAAAAGCTAAACAAGTCCAATGGACTAACGTTTACTTGGATGCCCTGGTATGTGCAGTGGGTGTATTTTGAACAGAAAATCATTACCAATAAAATGATTAATTGCACAAAAATGTTGCAGCAGAAAAATCTTATTCCCATTCTCACAGTTGGAGGGAATCTCTTTATCAAAAAAATATGTTTGTTAAAGATTAAAGATACTTAGGGGAAAAAAAAACTGATTCGTATAAGAAGAAATATTGGAGAAGTCAATGCAGCGCTACTAGTGAGAGTTGCAATGGATGAGGAGTATATTATTAAGAAATTGCAGATGTGATTTTTTTCTGGTATACAGTAGTAGGCTACATTTATTCTCAACAAGACTCCAGCTTCCATTTCGTGATTTTCTGTTACCTACTCAGAAAACTAGAGCCTTGTCCAGGTGAGTCAGCTATTTATTTATAAAACTATGGAGTTCTGGGTGCTCTCTGAGCTTGGTTGTTTGCTGGCAGACATTTCATTCCCCAATGAGGTAACATCATCAGTGCGACATTCATGGTTCAGCCCAGAGCTACAGATATTCACTTCTACTGGAATGTATACAGCCATTTATTTATTTATAAAGCTACCCAGCTCAAAAAAATGGGACTTTTGTATGTAACAAAAAGAAATAATTCAGCAAAAAATGAATACAGAGCCATACACCACTAAAGATAACTCAGTATATACAAAGGTGAACTGAACCAGACAATTAAAACGACCAATTGGACCCGAATGCCTGGGAAAACAGTTAAGTCTTTATGGACTTAGGCAAGCTAGGGGTTTATTTATTTATTTTTATGTTTCACCACCCATCTCACTAAGGAGCAACTCTGGGTGGTTTACAGTAAAAACAAGAATAATATTAATTAAAATACAATTAAAATAGAATAAAAACCATATTCATACATAAATAATATCTCCCAAGGTACTGATGGTAGAAAAGGTTATTAAGCTACAGGAGCATCTTCAAGGTGCTAGCTACCTCCAAGTTTGGTTGCCCCTCTTCTTGCCCCATGCAAGTTGGCAGGGCCAGATCTGCCTCACCTCTGGTCGGAAAGTATTCCCCACCAGTCGACATTCTTTCATCAACGGGGTCTGTAGCATACTCCCTCTGCTTGACCAGGTGGGATGGGTTGATATAATGGGGGTAAGCTGGTCTCTCAGGTCATAAAAGAATTATGGAATTCTTTTGCTGATGGTTGGACAAAGATTCCTCATTAGTGCTTTAGACAGGAAATATTCTTTCTTAAGCATGTGAGCTGAAACACTTTTGCCTTTCCAACCTTGACTGGACTTGTTTCTGCATTGGTGTACGCACATACCAGAAAATTGTCACTCCAAGAAATTGTACACATTTTCATTGCATGCTTTGCATGTGTTTTTCAAATTGGGAATTGCCCTGCAACAGCCTTATATGCAGATTTAGGCATCCATTTGCATTCTACTTTGCCTATCCATCCAAAAGTTACAAAATTGAGTAACTTCACCTAGGATGGGTTACTCTGTATCACACTCCCACTTTGCTACCAAGCTTTTTTCAATTTCTACCAAGTTCTGCACCATTTTGTTGTTAGTTTCAGTATAAAAGAACCACATGCAAGAAGAAAGAATAATTTGAAAGGGCCGTGAGCAATTCAGGAATTGGGAATTAGGAGGGTCAGGACAGGGTTGCATTTCCAAAGATTTCTTTTTCTTCTAGAAATTCAGCACCATTCTGAATCTGAGAAAGAATCTAAGCAAGATATACATTTTTCTTCCTCTTGTGCCTGATAGTAAAAAATAGAAGAAATATGCTTTCTGTTTGAATGACTGCTGAACAGATTGATCAACCTGTGTGAAAGCCTTGGTTCTACATATTAAATCAGTGTCCCTCTTTTCATCTAATGCCTGAATAGGATTGGAGCCAAGCATCATTTGTTTAGCTTTGCTCAAGGCAGCACAACCTACATCTTCCTGGCTCCCTGGGAATGTGTAAAATACATGTCTGTGCAGGAAATTACACTGATTTACAAAACAGATTACAAGAGGCTAACCGCTGCTATCAAAACCTTTGTCATTTGAAGGTGATAACATTGACATACACATTTAAACCCTTCAGTACTTATTGTAATATACGATTGCCGCATGACCAGCTGAATTTCCACCTTTTCCTGTTAGGTTCACAATATAATATCTCTTTATTTTTATTTTTATTTTTTTTTAATGTGCTCAGTCCATTATGAGCCAGCCCTATCAAAATAGGTCAGTCTTTTGCATCATTATAGTTCCGATGCTCAGAAGTTCACTGACCACCCTTTCTTGGTTACTGATGAGGTCCTTACTGGAAATGTCATGGATAAAGTTCATATCTTTCTACACATCCTGTTCTTAAATGTCAGCAGAAAAGCAAGAACATGCACAGAGAGAAGGAAAATTGCATCAAAACAAAGTATAACCATTCTTACTTGTAATCATTTTTTCTAAGAATTCCAAAGAAGAGGAATATTTATTTGATCCTCAGCACTGAAAAGCAGATACATTATATAAATATGCAACGAAAGTGAACAAATGTTGAGCAATTTGGAGGACCTATTGCTAATTTTTTACTTTAGGACTGCAGACAATAGTATGTTTTTCTCAGAGGTAATGCACACTTTTATACCCCCATGCCATTAAAATATTGTTTTCTTCTATACATATTTGCAGAAGATCTAACTCTAGTACATGTCCTTTCAATCACATTCTCTGTTCTCCTGTTTTTCCTGTTTCTCTCATACAGTACATCTGATATGTATTTAGCCATATTTCAGGAGTGCTGCCAAGCTATATCCACGCAACTGGGCCTGATCCTACATCGTCTTGGAAGCCTTTATGTCCCATGATATCTCATTATTGTATTTATGAGATAGACCAGTGTAACCCTATTTTTTTTCCTATTCTTTAAATATTTCCCATTCCTGTTACTTAGATTATGGCTGCTGTATGAATCGACTGGATTCTATTTCATTCAATTATTCATCTGCTCACCTGGTAGGCAAAAGTTGGAATTGGATTTTAGGAAACATTAGTAGGAGAACAGCCTCCTTCCCAGATTTAGATAAGTCCGTGTGAAGACAAAGGTGTCATTTAGGACTGAATCATTGAAGCATCAGTAACTAATTAAGATTCTTGGAAGCATGACCTCAGCGGTAATGCATTACAAATCAGACATACTGTTTGGGTTAAAAGAATGACTGTAAATCGCTCATACATCAAGAAATATATGTTGGACTTCAAGTGTGTTTTTGCATCTTTGTTAACAATGAATTGAATCTGGAGTTGCCTGCAACAAGGGTTGATTCATTTTCCTGCAAACAGGAAGCTCCTTATCCTATAAGGTTCTCTGTTGCGTATATAGGTTTTTCCAAGATAATAGGAGAAAACATGGAAGCTTTAACATGCAAGGATTCGTGCATGCTTCATGGTCACTGGATCACTTCTGTTTCTTTTGCAACTATTCACACTAGATTTTTCCAGTTCAAATCCATGTGCCTCTGTCTTGTGCAAGAGAATAGAACTAAAAATAGAACTTTTCCCCTCCCCCCTCTTTTTCTTTTAAGACTCTACACGTAAGTTCAGTCAGCATATAGTCATTTTCCTGGGGACCACAGAGTGGGATGGGGGGGGGGAACAAACCCTCCAAGATGGCAGATATAGTATACAGAGGGCCAGGCACTGATTGTGATGCCACACTCATTCTCTTATAGATTGTGGATGCTATTTGTTTCCTTCATGAAAAATTGTTCCAAATTATTTCACAGTTTATTCAAAATGACTTTTTGGAAACTATGTTTTGAATGGTGACTTCCATTTTCATGATTAGGTTATGTTTTAAGTAGTTCTCCCTCTGATTGATTTCTAGGAACTTGGACTGGTCATTTCTGGAACCCTGCCTGTCTTCAACTTGACCAAAGACCAAAATAATGTGCAGGTGAGCGTATTCCCAGGTGTCAATTCCCATAATCCTGGAAAGGCATAAAGTTTCCATATCAACTAGTGAAGTAGTCCGATCAATTGAGATTGAAACCAGCTCATTCCCCTGACTTCAGCACACAACACCATGCCCATCTGCACAGAAACAAACCCCACTGAGTTAAATGAGAACCCTGCAGCTCGTATATTTTTCAACCCCAATATTTTGATGGACTGTGAACAAGTTACGTCAGAAATAACTTCCAGTTTCTTTGTATGTGTGTGTGTGTGTATGTGTGTGAGCATGTGGGTAACGCCTTTCAAAATGTTCTGATATTCTGAGTCTCTTGGATTAATCACATGTTATTCCTTTCTGGAGATTGGGAGAAGGCTAGAACTGATATGGCTGGCATTAGTCATATCAGTGAGATGGGCGGTGACAAATTTGATAAATAAATAAATTATTGTTAAATGCCTTGCTAATGAAGGATATAAGTTGTTCATGTTATGAATAAGACAAAGAGAAAAAAAAAACAAGAGATGCTTTTACCTTGGTCTGTGGATGCATACATTGTTTACACATGACATCAAAGTAAACATAAGAATTTAAGAATTAAGAGACTTAAAATTGTGTTAATTATTGTGCAAGTAAAAGGTATCGACTGCATGAGGAATAGGCATCTCATTAACAGCTAACATATAGTGGGGCAAAAAAGTATTTAGTCAGCCACCAATTGTGCAAGTTCTCCCACTTAAAAAGATGAGAGAGGCCTGTAATTTTCATCATAGGTATACCT